AAAAAAAAAATTTATATATACTTGTTAATTGTCCTCCAGAAAGAAATAAGAATTCCTATATTCTCCATTTCAAAAATAATGACTCTTCCACAAATATGTACAATTATTACATGTTAACTTAAAAAATAATAAAAATTTTTAAAAATAAAAAAAAAATTTATTTACCATATTAATAATGAAACTATAAAATTACTCAAAGGAATAATGGGAGAAAAATATTTTTAAAATAATTTTAGGGTATGATAGCTCCCTTTTATGCAGGACAACCCCTCAGCATGTATGTAGGAGTGCAGAAATTTGGGAATTAATTACTTTGGAAAGCTATTTGACAAAATCCATCAATTCTAAATGCACTGTCTCCCTAGCCCAACAATTTTTCTTCTGGGAATTTCTCATAGATCTATTGGATGCCTGGGAAAACAAGGTAGTGCACGACGGTATTATTTACTTGCCAAAATAGTGAAACAGGATAAATGAACATCAGCATATGGCGGTTAAGTTATGGGAAATAAGTACAATGGAATTCTGTGGAGACATGTAGAAGAGTGTTATGTCCATACATGTGACATAACTTGGAAAATGTTTTATGCTGTTAAGCGAGGAAAAAAAATGTATGGAGCAGAAAGTATGACTTGGGCCCATTCATGTGTTTAAAAACAAAAAGAATCTCAATGCATGGGATGTTTCAGTAGATATATATAAGGAATTTATTCATATCTTTAAACAAAAATTGTGGGAGATCATTGCTTTGGACTGAGCTCCTGGCAATAGGCCCCAGCAGACCCAGACCAAACCAAAATGGAGTCACTCATGCTAAATGTCACATAAACAGACAGTTTAAGAAAGCAGATAGGCTCCCCAGACAGACCAGTTTGTCCTGAAAACAGGAGATTACAGTCTACCTGAGTCAATGTAATTTCCATAGTCCCCCTTCACTTTAACCCTTACAAAAAAAAAACCTGAAATAACCTGATGTTAACCAATCAACGTTTTTTCTATTGCTCTGTTTCTCTGTTTCCACCTTATAAAATCCACTGTTCTGCTTGGTGGGAGCTCTCATTCTATTTTGTAGAATGGAGGCTGTCCCAGTCACAAATAAAAACCAATTAGATCTATAAATTGGTTGTATTTCATGACTTTTGACAGTAGTAGTTGTCTTTGAAAGAATGGCTGTCATCTAAAGGTGGTAGGCATATTTTTTAAATTGCATATCCATTTATTATGCTTGAATTTTTTTTACTGTGCATGTATTACTTTTTCAAATAAAAATAAAAACCTCCTTAAAAATACAACAAATTCCTATAAAGCAGCTAAGGTGAATGAAACAAGTCCTCATTATCAGCGTGCATAATCTCAAAAACATAAAGCTGAGTGAAAAAAAGACTTGCAAAGACATACATGCAGTATAACATTCTTTAGGTCAATCTTAAAAGTATAAAATAATTGTTATTTATGAATGTGTACATAGGCAATGGAAGTATTAAAACACACATGGGAGTGAATACAGGGTTCAGAAAAGTAGTTAATTCTGGGGAGGAAGAGGAAAAAGAGGGCTTCAGTTGTGTCTAATAGCTTATTTACTGCTGTCTTCAAAGTTCCTAAGTAAATATGACAAAATGTGAACGTCAGTAAAATCAGGTTGATGCTGCTTACTTACGTGTTTGAAAAAAATTATTTAAATTTAAAATTGTTTTAAGTAAATTTCTGTTGATTTTTTCCCAGCACTCCTATTGTATTCAGTTGTTGTGTCAGTTCATTACTGAATCGAGTCATGGTTTGCAGAGTCACAGGTATTCTTTCCTTTTTTTACCCTTCTCAACAGGTCAGCGGTGGCAATGACCCCTGGTCAGCCTGGAGCGCTTCCAAATCTGGGAACTGGGAGAGCTCGGATGGCTGGGGGGCCAGGCCAGAAGGGGCTGGGGCCCAAAGAAACGCTCCCAACAACTGGGACACTGCCTTCGGCCACCCCCAGGCCTACCAAGGACCAGGTGAGGAGGGTCTCCTGCCCCACCCGTGAGTGACTGCATGTGCGAGACAGGAAAAAACAAACTGCTTTGGCTACTCCCACACTCAACACAGAACAGCAGACAACAGCTGGGTGTCCTACAATTTAGCTCAATCCCGACACTATCTACCTGGAGTCAGATCCAGGGGTCCCCAGGGTTTGACTAATAAAGCCTACTCGGGTTTGATTAATTTGCTAGAGCAGCTCATAGAGCTCAGGGAAACGCTTTACTTATAATTGCCAATTTATTACAAAGGATAATTTAGAGGACAGAAATGAACAGCCAGATGAAAAGGTGCACAGGGCGAGGTATGGGGGTACAGGTGTGGAGCGTCCATCCCCTCTCCAAGTGTGCCGCTCTTCAGGATCCTTTGCAGCTATCAGGAAGCACATTTAAACCCTGTAGTACAGGGATTTGTATGGAGACCTCATCACATTAGGCATGATCGATTATTCATTCAGTGACCAGCCACTCTCCTCTTCCCAGAGGACAGAGCTGAGGCTGAAAGTCCCGGGCTTCTAATCAATGGCTTGGTCTTTCTAGTGACCAGCCCCCATCTGGGAGCCCACCAGAAGTTACCTCATTACAAAAGAAGGCACTCTTATCACCCTGGAAATTCCAGGGGATTAGGACTGTGTTAGGAACTAGGGTCAAAAACCAAGTATTAGAATAAAGATACACCTAGCACCACCATTGCTCAGGAAATTACAAGGGTTTTAGGAGCTCTGTACAGAGAACAAATATATACAAGGGTACTTCAAAAAGTTCATTGAAAAATAGAACTAAAAGAAAATGTGAATCTTTCCATGAACTTCTGAAGTACACTCGTAATTTTTATGTTATCAGAATATCACACTGGGTCATCTGAGTTAAAAATAGATTTTATTCAGAAGAACTGCCCACAATTGCTCTTATTCACTAATAGCAAACCTGGATCCAACTGTCGATAGTCCTTAATTTTAATCTTTAGTCCAGTCTCAACTATCTATCAAGGAGGCACAAAGTAAAACGCTTGAAGGGGCCAGGCTGGTAAAAGAGCAGAGCAGGCCAGCTGCGGCTGCAGAAGACTGGAAAGTGCGTTGTCTGTAGGGGCAGCCCCTGCTCCCACCAGCAGGTTGCTGCATTTGCGGGAAAGCTGAGCTAGAGTTCTGATCTCCACATTTTCAGAGAGAGACTGGAAATCTCCATTTTTATGTTGTCTTCTCACTTTAACGTCCCTCAGCTACCACATTTGTTTTAAAATCTTCACTTGATCTTAGGCAAAAGACCTAGAAGTGATTATTTTAAAATCTTGAGCCAAAAAACCATGTGGATGGCATATGCTTATCACTCTCTGGTTTCTGTCCTCTGCATTAGCCGTTTCAGCTTTTCCTTGACTGTCTGCTTGACTCCTAGTCTATTGATAAAAAAAAACTGAGACAGAGGAGAAATTTATAGAAAAGGAAACAATTCGGGGGTTAAGATGGGGTTTTTACATCTGTTTTGAAATTAAATACAAAGATAGAGGACTGACCATTATTTTTCTCTGATCCTTGCATCCTGTCTCCTCTGTGAGCACATTGTGCAGGAATTGAATGTCTCTTCCCCATGGCAAGAGCCTCACACTCAGAGGCCAGAAGAGGGCACAGATGCTGGTTCAAAGCTGGCAGTCATAGACAGGAACTTGCCCATCAGCAGGGCTAGGAGCTGTGGGCTGGGTAGAAGCATTGGGACTAGACCATGGCATCTGTTGTTAATTGGCCCAGATCGTAGTTTCTTTTCTTTTCTTTTCCTTTTGGCATTAGTCTCAGCTTCTCTGTGGCGGCACTCTTAGGGCTATGTACTGCCTGATAGTAAAGGGCCCCTCCGGCCCCTGGAGGTGGGAGATAGGGGCATTAAACAGTGGGGAAAGAGAAGGAGAGCTGGCAGGGACTGCCTGACACAGAGACTGTTGTCAGGATATTAGGCCACCGATGCTAATCACTTCTTTTCTCCCACTTTTTTCTTTCCCTTTCCCCCACACACTCCAACCCATTCCTTTGCGTCTTTCTTCTCCTTACCCTTCTCTCACCTTTATTATTAATGTTAAACAGTTGCTTTTCAAAGATCTGTCGTCCCTGTGTCCTCCCTAATTTTCTTGACTTAAAGGGTATTTGTTCTGCTTATTCATAAGTTTGCAAGATCAGATCTATCAGTGTGTAGGCCTGTAGGAGGCCTTCTTTTGTATGCCACTTCATATTTTTATGGTATGCATTTATCTGAAGTTACTTGGACTGACAGCCCTTTTTTAAAAATTGTATTTGAAGTATACAACATAAAGTTTTGATACACATACTGAAATGATACTACAGTCGAGCAGTTAACATACCCATCGTCTCAGATAGTCATCCTTGTGCGCGTGTGTGGTAAGAGCACCTAGAGTCTACTCTCTTAGGAAATTTCCAGAATACAATACAATATTATCAGCCTTAGCCCTCGTGCTGCACATTAGATCTCTAGACTGTCATTCTACATAACTGCAGCTCTGTACCCTTTGACCTGTATCGCCCCGTTTTCCCCTGTCCCCGCCCCGGTAACCACCATTCTCTCTGCTGCTGTAAGTTCAACTTTTTCAAGATTCCACATGTAAGTGAGATCATACAGTATTTTTCTGTGTCTGGCTTATTTCATTTAACATAATGTCCTCCAGTTTCGTCCATGTTGTTGCAAATGGCAGGACCTCCTTTTTTATTCCGTTGTGTATATATACCACAATTTCTTTATCCACTCATCCATCCACAGACACTTAGGTTGCTCCCATATCTTGACTGTTGCAAGTAATGCTGCAGTGAGCATGGGAGTACAGATGTCTCCTGACATACTGATTTTATTTCCTTTGGGTATATGCCCAGAAGAGGGAAACTGGTCATATGGTAGTTCTATTTTTTATTTCTGAGAAACCTCCACAGTGTTTTCCATAATGGCTGTGCCAGTTTACATTCCCACCAACAGTGCGCAGGGGTGCCCTTTTCTCTACCCCCTCACTGATACTCGTTCTCTCTTGACTTTTTGATAATAGCCATCTTAACACATGTGAGGCGATGTCTCATTGTGGTTTTAATTTGCATTTTGTGTGGTTTTGATTTGATAATTTGTGACGTTAGCACCTTTCATATACCTGTTGGCCATTTTTGTCTTCTTTGGAAAAATGTCTATTCAGGTTCTTTGCCCATTTTTTAATCAGGTTATTTGTTTTCTTGCTATTAAGTTATGTAAGTTCCTTATATATTTTGGATATTAACCCATTATCAGATATATGGTTCACAAATATTTTCTCCCAATCTGTAGGCTGCCTTTTTATTTTATTTTTTTATTGTTTTCTGTGTTGTGCAAAAGCTTTCTAGTTTGATGTAGTCCCACTTACTATTTTTGCTTTCATTGCCTGAGCTTTTAGTGTTTTATCCAAAAAATCATTGCCAAAGCCAGTTTCAAGGAGTTTTTCCCCTGTGCGTTCTTCTACGGGTTTTACAGTTTCAAGTCTTATGTGTGGGTCTTTGATTTATTTTGAGGTTATTTTTTGTGTATGGTTTAAGATAAAGGTCTGATTTCATTCTTTTGCATGTGAATGTCCAGTTTACCCACCATCGTTTATTGAAAAGACCATCCTTTCCCCATTGTGTCTTCTTGGTGCCCTTGTCAAAAATTAGTTGATCTGACAACCCTCTTTAAGTTGTTTCTAATTTGTCTTTTGCACTAAAAGGCAGAACCCATTATTCAAGCCTTAAAACAATCTGACTACAAAGCCTGTACTCTTAACATCTACATTATACTCCTGTAGTATACTTTTCTCTATTTTTAGAAACTGATTAGCCCAGTGAGTGGTTATTATCAGAAAATTAAGTAATTTCATTTTTATTTTGTTTTTCTTTGCTGATGGTCTTCTGTTCCCACCTCTAGCAACTGGTGATGATGATGACTGGGATGAAGACTGGGATGACCCCAAGTCCTCTTCTCCTTACTTTAAGGATTCAGAATCAGTGGAAGCAGGGGGCATTCAGCGAGGAAACAGTCGTGCTGGTGCCTCGTCCATGAAGCTGCCACTTAATAAGTAAGTTAAAAATTGAGTAGGAGAAACCAGGATCTGTGTGTAGAAGAAAATAAAATACATATATAAAGTATATAAACTACAAATATAAAATGCAAAATATAAAATATATAAAATACAAAGAGGCAGTGGCTTTTTCTCTTTTCAGTCTTGTACTAAGTTTTGGGTCATTTTTATTTGGATCTTAGCTAGTAAGCTTTTTTTTTTTTTTTTTTAAGAATATTCATTTACAAAGTTAATAAGTGAAGTATTTATTTTATATAATGATCTGCCCAATAGCTTTGGTTACTTCTACCTTTATCAACTTTATGACATATTAAGGTTCCATTGCTAAATGTCATTAAGAAAGGTAAAAATGATCATATTAATAATAAAAACTCTCTTTTAAATGTTTTACTCTTTTGTTAATCACTTACCACATGCCAGGCATTGTGCATCATGGTTTGTATGCATTTTCATGTCACCCTCACATTCTTTGCGGTACACTTAATCCCTGTTTTACTGGGATGGGAAAAACAGAAGCCCGGAGAGGTTAGGCAGCACCCAGGCTCACGTGGGTGGTAAGTGCTCTAAGTCAGGATTCCAGTCCCTCCATCTCTAGGGCACATGCTCTCAGCTGCTATGCCTAATGTGGTTAAGATCTTTGTTTTCATTTATATTTCTCTTAGATTCAAAAAAAATGTTTTTAATAGTACTTGTAGATAAATCGCTTAACAGGCAAATGTAGGGAACATGGACATATAGCACTGTAAGATTTTCTGGTAGAGAGTTGTAGATAAGTCTGTAGTTTACACCAGTATAGCTTGAAGGAGATATACATTATGACTTTAATAAGAATCTTCAAGTACCCTTCTTCCAGCAGTTATGTTTAAAATAGTTTATTTTCTAAAATTACTAATATGTCTTCTCAATATTCCAAGTGCATGATTCAAAGCATATCTATGTCTGGAAAAAAATGAAAAGATAATGTTTGACATATTTCTAGATATTAAGATCCAGGTCTAGATCTAGTTTAATGAGTCCTACAAGTTCTCCATAGTATATTTAAATAGCTTGAGGTGATTAAATGAATTATCTTAAACTGCATACTTTTTCTGCCTCTCTATCCACAGTTTCTTCCATTATGTATTTTCATACTAAATTGCATGCATAATAAAATTAATCATTCATTATCAACTGTATCTTGTTTCTTAGAGTCAAATTTGAATTTCTCAATATGGTCAGTAGTGCCATATATTACTCTCAGTTGTTCTTTAAACCTAAATATAAAGTGTTTTTAAAATCCACTTAAATGTAATTTGTCTCTTGGCCCTATTTTGCAAATGAGGAAGCAAAGACTGTGAAAAATGAGCGGCCAAGTTTTCACAGCTGGTGACTGAAGCTCTGGCTCATGCCTCCTGGGTCTCTGACTCTAGTTTCCCACGCTTTCCTCTTCTCCATGCTTGCTCTCTAATTTGCTGAATGATCTCAGGCAAGTTTGATGACCCGTTTGAACCTCAGTTTCCTCATGTCTAAAGCAAAGAGGGCTTATTAAATGATTCTTTCTGTTCTAAGATGTCATTCCAAGTTGAAGTTGAATTAGCATAGTCTTAATGTGAACCAGTACCTCTGAGGTTTCTCTGTCTTTGTGGTACTGGGAACAATTTAAAACCCCATGTATTTTTATTTAACTAGATTAATGTTTAATTGAGTCACTTAAATGTATGAGTTGTAAAAAAATTTTTTTTAAGTGTTAATGCTTTTTCAGCAATTAATCCATTTTATATAACAGCTGTATTCCAGTCATGGAACATAAACCTTATACTAGAAAAGGAGATCAGGAATTTAAGTATGCTTGAGCATTATAGGAATCCATCTTGATATTCACATAATGAATAAATTACATTGCTGTTCAGTATTAACTGAGTGTGCATAGTTGGCCCTAGAGTTTTGCTGTGGTCCATAAGAATACCAAAAAAATGTGAAATGTGATTTCTGCACTCAGAAGCTTACAGTCCAGTCAAGGAGTTATCACTATATGTAATCCCCACAAAAGTGCACATTCTTTAATAAAAGTGTTCCAAGTCAGCCCATGAATTCATTAAGCATTTAGTATACTTCCAGAACTCCTCTAGATCATGAAAATACAAATGCTTTCTCTAAGATTCTTCTAATCTGCTGTAATGTGTAAATGGGTAATGGGAATTAAGTGTAATAAATTGTACAGCAAAAATATGCTCAGAATGCTGAGGGAGCACAGAGACAGCTTTTCCTGAGGCTGTAGGGAATACTTTCAAAGAGATGATGACATAGTTACTGATAATTTAAATTTATTGAGTACATACTAGGCTCTTTACAGAAATATTTTCATTTAATTCCCTTAATTATCTTAAAAGGTAGATCGTCTTGGTCCATTCTTGACACAAGGAGACTGAGGCTTCTAAAGCCACAGCAGTGTTGGCTTTGGGTTTCAGTTCCAAGTCCCTCCAGCTCCAAGCCTCTTCTTTGTTCTGTCTTACATGAGCTGTGTTTTAAAGAATGTCTAGGGAAAGGGGACTGGAGAAAGTCCATTGAGAATGAAAGAAAAGAAACGGGTCCCTGAGAGCATCACTTTGGCTTTTGATTTGGTATATGAATGAAATTAGAAGTAACATAACTGGGATTTTGTAGAAATAATATTTTTTCTCTATTTTGGGGTATTACTCTTTCTGAGGGTTTTTTTTAACTGTTTCTTAGAAATAATTCTAAAACCAAAATTAATCTTGTCTTTTTCAGAAGTAGCACTTTGAAAGGCTGTGCGTTTATTCTAGCTCTTCTCTAATTTTAGAAACTTCCTTTGGATGTAGATTTTTTATTTCTGGAAGTAGTCAAGTTTATTATGTTTTTGAGTCTTACATGACCGCCCCCCCCATCCCCCCAAAAGAAAAGTAGCCAAATTTATTTATTTCACTTTGGGTCTCTTTACTAAGGAAACTCGTTTTCTGTTGGGTCTCATAAACTGGTTCTGAAGGCAATTCCAAAAGAACATGGCACAAATGCTTATGAACAGTGGCAGCTTCTTTGGGATAATTGTGGCCTCCCAGAGTGAGTATGGTGAAAGCCAACTTTAATTGGGTGTAGAAGTGCCAGCATGTGGCTGTTGTCCCATGTGGTCAACTCCAGTTTGTTGTGCTGGGTCCTTACTGCTTCTGTGAACTAGGGGACATTTTTCAAGTCTGCCCCTCTCTCCTTGTTGGGTGATAGAATGATTTGGACTCTGTTAAGCAAATAGAGTACCCATAAATATCACACCTTCTGGAGCCAAACCACTCTCTTCACCAGATCAAGCTTAATTAAATGACTAATTGGCCATTGAACAATCTGATTATATTAGGTTTCGTTTACCACAGTTTCCTAGCTCTAGCACATCTGAAAGACAGAACAAAGTTAAAACTGGCGCATTAAGTAAATGTGGACAAGACTTGTAGAATTCTTATAAGAAAAGACATAAGGCTCACAAGCATTTATCTCCATGACTAGATTTCCTGGATTTGCAAAACCTGGAATGGAACAGTATTTGTTGGCCAAACCGCTAGCAAAACCCAAAGAGAAAATTCCCATCATTGTAAGTTTGTTCATTTTTGTTTGTTTTCTTTGTTTGTAATTCAGGTCTTTTATAATACCTTAAAGCTAAGAGGGTTGTTAGTCTTTTGGAAAGTATTTTTAAACACATTTACTGCCCCAGGTAACTGATAGTCTATGTTAGTATTTTAGGAGTACTAAAGATAATTAGCATAAATTAATGCCTGTCATTATATTATTTATTCTTCGTTTTTGTCTTTCAAACTATTAATATTGAGCCAACAACACTCATAATATATATTCTTTTAATAATTTTTTCTAAAGTATCTTTTAAATATATTTTACATGCTGTTTTTCTACTAGCCCTAATTGTTTAGCTAATCAACTCAATTCAAATATTTAGGCTCCTACCCTGGCAAAGTACATGTATGTTATCAGAATAAGGTGTCTTTTTCAATATGTTGCTAGTAATTAGTGTTTTTTCCAATAAACCAGCTGTCAGGTCAAAATAAGGAGCTGGCAAAATCTGGGAGTTTATGACATCATTAAGAATATCTGTCTTAGAATAACTTGATTGTTACATAACTGACACAGGCTCTTTGGTTTCATCCCATATTTCTATTACTGATAGATTTTTTTATCTAGGTAATATCTAGCTGTATATTCCCTAATTAAATTCCGGAAAAGAGAACTGTGGCTATCTTCTGACCCCATGATGTAACCTGTAACTAGAGGACTGTGGGCATGGGGGAGCCTTGAGAGTAATCACCAGGAACTCAGACAAGGATGAAGAGACGTCTGGTCTTATTCTGTCCTAGGATACTTGATAAGATTGCAGGAATGATACTGGATTCTTTAGTTACTTGTTCCCACGTCTTTGAAAAGCTTGAAATCCTGGAAGCTTCCGGTCAGAAGGATTATAACCAAGAGCCCCTTTTATCCTTTTTTCTTCAAAGCAAATTTAGGGTAATTATCTCCTGAGAAGTTATAGACTATTTTAATTTTTTCCTGTTCTCTTCAGACTTTTTTATTCTTTTCATTAAATTTAAAAGTCCTCAGAATTAAGAGCCCATGGCTCTGCCCTTCAGATTTGTAAAGGAGACTTTGTCACAACCATGACAGTAGTGGAACAGAGCTAAAGGTCGCAGCCTTTTCGTTGTCCCACAAATGTTAGGTAGAACTGGGCCCGTGTACCCAATAGGGAGGCCTGCCTGCGTGGGCTTCATGCTTGGAAAAGGAAGCTGAGGAAGAAGGAAAGCCATCTAGTCTTCAGGAAGCCAAGAGAAAGCAGAGACCTGGTTCCTGCTTTGTAGGTGCAGAAACCCCGCCCACTAATAAAATATGGCCCCAAGGATATTAGGCTCTAGCCAATTAGAGTCTCCTCTCTTGGTCCCAGCCACTGAGGGAAGTTCCCCCAGGTCAGCTTATGAATTCCTGCTCTGCAGCTTCAGGGCATTTCCTGAATCCAGACTCCCTTTGGGGGCATCAGAGTAGTTTGTTACCAGAGATCTTCTCTTTAACCCCCTTTCAAACTTCTGTGATCCTCAGTCACCTTCCAGACCTAATAACCTCTGGACTTTCATACCCCACACAACTCTTTCCCTCTTCCACCTTTAGAAAGAATTAGGACTGAGTATGCATCGTTTTATATCTGTCTGCCCTTGTCTCTGAGATCTCAGCCTAAACAAATCTCTCTTCCTTGAGCCCAATCTGCAAGGTGTACCTCATTTTCTTTTTACTTTCCTATTGTACTTTTTCTAACTGCAAGATTAAAACCTGTTTTATAAATATTTTCATTCCTCCTTGAATCTCTGAGTGAATCTCTTTGCAAGAAAGAGTTCCATTTACAGACCACGTGTTTTTTTTTTTCATCTTATTCCTGGATTATTTTGTAATTCAATTGCTTTTCTATTTCAAAGAAGATAACTTATTCTCAATATAATAAGGACTCCTATTACTCTTTATATGTTCTTTGATAAGATCTACTGTCGTACTCTGGATCTCTGAAATCTATAACCATGATCAGAGTTTATGAAATGAATGAAATTTTTGTGAACCAACCTGAGACCACTGGCGATGCAGGAAGTGATTCCAGGAGCCTGTGCGTAGTCCCCATGATCCAAGTTCCTCTGCAGCTGACTCCGTGGCCTTGGATGTAGTTTTAAACAAGATGAAAGCAACCAGAATTGGGACAGCAGACCTATTGTCACTTAGCAGCAGTGCCTAGGAGAAACCATCCACAGGCTCAAAACTTAAATGCTAGTTCTTTATACTCCTTCCTCCGCCCCCATCCCCAGTTACAACCCTAGTAATCTAGTGCAAGCCTAATAAGCCTCACCTGAGTTTTTGAACTTTTGCCTGCTAGTCATAGACAACGATGGTGGAGAAAGAATGGGGGCCTACCTTCTTTGGGCAAGCCTTGCCCAGGTGGGCATAATACCTGGGGACAGGAAGTCAGCCAGCTCACCGTGCTTATGCACAAGCACTCCTAAGAGAAAACTGCTATCCTGGTTCTTGCTTTTGAAGCACAGTGACCTTCTATTAGTGGCAAAACAATGGCTGTCAGGCTCTAGCAATCTGATTAGCCATTTCTGAGAGCTAGAACAGTACTATTCAAAGTGTGGTCCACGAACCAATTTCACATCTGAAAACTGCTTGTTACTTCTCCAGGAGAGAAGTGCAGAAAATGACAGTGTTCAGAAATTTTGATGGCAATTTGACATTAAGAAATCCGAATGTGTAATATTTCACAAAACTATCAGTCCATGATAGATTGGAAATTTTAAAAAAACGATCCCTTCATCACAGATAGCTTGAGACAACTGGACTAGAGAGAGAGAGAGAGAGACATTGTGTTCTAACCAGCACTCCCCTAGAGGGGAGGGAGGCCAGTATCTTCTCTGCATGGGCTGAGCTGCCCACACGGGGAACAGAAAGGTTTGTCCTAACAAGTGTGTTCTTTACATGTAACATCTCACAGGAACAGAGGCCACTTGTGTAACTTCTCAAAGAGGAACAAGAATGATCCTCCAAAGGACTTTTAGTTCTGGAAAGAATCATTTACTGATTTATATCATTGTATTTAATATTTTTCCATGTAACAAAATTAACTCTTCCTGTAATGTTGTGTAGGTTGGAGATTATGGCCCGATGTGGGTTTATCCTACATCTACGTTTGACTGTGTGGTAGCAGATCCCAGGAAAGGCTCCAAAATGTATGGTTTGAAGAGCTACATTGAATATCAGTTAACACCTACTGTAAGTATCCATGTTAACAAAACCAGAATTGTGCTTGCATTACTGGTTACAACTTGCTTTTTTTCTTCATTTTCTATAATTGGCGTTGGTAACTTTTTCTTCTCTCTCCTTATTTCGTAGAACACTAATAGATCTGTAAACCACAGGTATAAGCACTTTGACTGGTTATATGAGCGTCTCCTCGTTAAGTTTGGGTCAGCCATTCCAATCCCTTCTCTTCCAGACAAACAAGTCACAGGTGAGTGTGTGAAATGCCAAACTCAGGATGACAGGTAAAAACTCCTGTCAGATTGTCCTCCTATAAGTCAGTGATGGCATTTTCCATCCTTTGGAGCAACAAGATGCATGCTTGTGGAGAAGGGGTCTGTGACCCAGTCTGCACAACAGATGTGAAGAGTCTGTGACCCAGCCTGACAGAGGTATTTTGGGAAGATGAAAACTTTTCGTTTTATTTTATTTTTTTTATTTTTTATTTTTTTTAATTTTTATTTTGTCAATATACAATGTGTATGATTATTATGGCCCTTCACCGANTTTTAAATAAGCTGTTTTGATTTTGATTTTTTCAGAAAAATTTTCAAAGATGTCAAATTGTCATAGCAGAATGGAGAGTGGGGCTGCTGGCAGTCAGTCATATGAGGTGACACTTGAGTTGTCCCTGGCAGAGCAGGGCAGCCAGGCTGGCATGGATTGCTGCTTCCTTCTGCTCACATGGGTCCATCGTGTCCCAGTTCTACGTCCAGTTCACCTACTCTCTCTCCCTCCTGTCATCTTTACAGCTTTAAGTCACAGCTTTCTTTTTTTAAATGTAGATTCTTTCCATGAAAACTTCAGTTCTGCCTCTCCATATTTCCAAGTTTCAGTCTGTTGCCTTGAGTTCTGTACTCTTCTTTATCAACTTGGTTAGCACAATACGTGCTCTGTAGTGTTTGAGGAAATGGATTCAGTGCGCTGTTTCAGGGTCATGGGCGTTTCTCATATCTTTTAGGTTTTAATACATTGGTTATTCTGAATCAAATAATTCAGTGCCATTTTAAAGCATCATAGAGTCACAGTTCTCCTTCCATACTAAGGTTTGTTTAAAAGAAAAAGTTTAGGCATGCAGCCATGGGGGGGTCATGGAAAAGCAAGAAAGCAGCAGCACCTCAGTGTGAAGAAAGTTGAGCTTTGATTCACTGGCTGGGACATGTGCTGAGGAAACTGAAAAGCACAGAAGAGACTTTGTTTCCCCCTTCTCTCTTGTCTGCCTCCTGCCCATGATAGGCACACATCATTATTGTATAAAAACTCTCCTCTCACTTAACCACTGGAGAAAATAAAAAGGAGTGCCAAGTAGATGATGTCACGACATCTCTGTGGACGTGTAGTCAATCCGCGAAAAATTTACAGCTCACATCGTTTGTTTATGGATTGTATTCTTTGTGGAAGAATATTGAACGAATAAAAAGGAGTGCCAAGTAGATGATGTCACGACATCTCTGTGGACGTGTAGTCAATCCGCAAAAAATTTACAGCTCACATCGTTTGTTTATGGATTGTATTCTTTGTGGAAGAATATTGAACGAATCTGGTTTTACTCCTGGGTGCCAAATATTCACATACTCAGTGAAAACCTAAGTAAGGTTTGTCGAAAATGGGGAAATGAAAGTCCTCGCCCCTCGCCCCTTTTCTATTTCTCTGGAACCTGATAGGAAGATCTTACCAAGCATAAAATAACATCAGATTCATAGTTTGGAGATAAATCAGCTATGTCAGAAGAATTTTCATGAGGGTAATTTTTCAGTAAAATAAGAACCATGAAATTTCAACCAGTGATTAGGTAATAAAGTCTTGGTATAATTGACTTGCTCATAATGGGGAATTCAGTCTATCCCAAGTCCATGCCAACTCACTGGGTCTTTTCTGTCCAAGAGGGGGTTGTCTTCTTTCCGAGGGTGAGACTTTGTTTCTACATCACTTAAGCTTACGTAGTACTTAATCTCTACTCCTAATAAGTATAAAATTTGAAATGCATAAACATACAGGAGGTGTCTAGACACGTTGTGCTGTTCAAGTGCTACTTTTTAGGTAACAAGTTTTTTATATGTAGGTCCATAATACTCTTCTTGTTAAAAGACTTATGCTTAATTGTACTTATAATTTCTAGAGGAAAGTTCAGGCTGCATTTTTAAAAATGTATTTTTAAACTTATGTACAGTAAATTCACTTTTTGGTGTACGATTCTATGAGTTTTGACAACTAACACTACAGTCTTATAACCACCACTACGTTGATGATACAAAACAATTGTCACCTCCCAAAGTTCCCCTGTGCTGCCTCTTTATTTTCAACCCCTTCTTCCAGTCCTAACCATGACAACTGGTCTGTTCTTTGTCCCTGTAATTTTGCCTTTTGTAGAATGTCACTATAAATGGGAGCATTTTGTATGTAGTCTTTTGAGCCTGGCTTCTTTCATTTAGCATATGCATTTGAGGTTCATCTACCTTATATCAATAGTTTGTTTCTTTTTATTGCTGAGTAGGATTCCAATGTATAGAAACACCATAGTTTGTATATCCATTCACTCATTGAAGGACATTCAGGTTTCCAGTTTTGGGCAATTATGAGTAAAGCTCTATAAACATTTGCATACAGGTTTTTGTATGAACATAAGTTTCCATTTCTCTTGAGTAAATACCCAGGAGTGAAAGTCATTTGGTAGGTATATGTTTAATGTTTAAGAAATTGCCTGACTGCTTTCCAAAGTGGCTGTACCATCTTGGAATCTTCACCAACAGTGTATGAGAGTGTCAGATAGTTCCACATCCTGCACTCAATAGTCTCAGTTTTTCTTTATTTTAACCAGTGGGTAGTGGGATCTCATCATGGTTTTAATTTCTCTAATAGTGTTGAGCATCTTTTCATGTGCTTATTTCCCATCCATACATCTTCTTTGGCGGAAGCATGTGTTCAGATCTTTCTCCCACTTTTTAATTAGGTTTTCTTATTATTATTGAATTTTGAGAATTCTTTATATGTTCTAGAATGTGGTTTGCAAATATGTCAGATATGTGACTTGCAGATAATTTGTCCCAGCTGTGGCTTGTCTTTTCATTTTCTTAACAGTGTCTTTTGCTTTTTATGAAGTTCATTGTATCAATTTTCTCTTTTATAGATTGTGTTTTAGGTATTACGACTAAGACCTCTTTGCCTAACCCAAGTTCACAATGATATTTTCTTTTAAAAGTTTTGTAGTTTTAGGTTTTAGATTTAGGTCTAGGAGGCATTTTGAGTTATTTTCGTTTGTATGATTAAGGAAGAGGTTCATATTTTTTTGCATCTGGATATACAATCATTCTAGCACCATCTGTTGGAAAGACTATCCTTTCTCTGTTGAATTTCCTTGGCATCACTGTAAAAAAATCACTTGACCATATTTGTGTGGATTTATTTCTGGATTCTATTTTGTCTCATTGATTTATATGTGCATCCTTTTGCCAACACCACACTGTCTTGATTAGTGTAGCTTTATGGTAAGTCTTTAAATGAGGTAGTGTGAATCCTCCAATTTGGTTCTTTTTCAAGACTGTTTTTGCTATTTTTTTCTTTTGCCTTTTCATGTAAAAAAAAAAAAAAAGAGTCAGTTTGTAGATATCTACAAATAATCAAACTAGAATTTTGATTGGAATTGCATTAATTCTACAGATCAATTTTCACATGTTAATATTTAATCTTCTAATTCATGAATATAAACATATCATATTTGATTTTCACTATTGTTTTGTAGTTTCCATAAACAGATTCTGCATCTACTTTGTTAGATTTATATGTAAGAATTTCACTGGGGAGGTTCTGCTGTAAATGGTACTATTTGTTGTTTTGTTGTGTGTTTTTTTTTTTTAATTTCTGCTTTCCAGTTGTTTATTGCATGTGGAGATACTATTGATTTTTGTATATCAACTTTGTATCTGTGACCTTGCTAAAGTCCTTATTAAAGTTACTAGTTTGGGGAGCTTTTTTGTGGATTCTTTGAGATTTTTTTTATATAGACAATCATGTCATCTTGGAATAGAAACCATTTTATTTCATTCTTTCCAATCTGTGTGCTTTCTATTTCTGTTTTTGCCTTATTGCACTGGCTGTATCCAGTATGATGCTGAATTTAAGTGGTGAGAGCAGACATCTCTACCTTGTTCCCAGTCTTAGGGGGAAAGCATTCAGTCTTTCTCCATTAAGTAAGACATTAGCTATAGGTTTTTTGTAGATGCCCTTTTAACAATTTACAGCACTTCCCTTCTATTTGTAGTTTGCTGAAAGTTCTCATGAATGGATGCTGAATTTTGTTAAACGTTTTTTGTGTGTCCATCAAGGTGATCGTATGGTGTTTACTCTTTACTATTAATAGGTGAATTATGTTGGTCAGCTTTTCACTGTTGAACCAGCCTTGTATTCCTGGGATAAACCTCACTTGATGTTGATATATTATTCTTTTTATATATTGCTGGATTCACTTTGCTAATATTTCATTGAGAACTTTTGTGTCTGTGTTCATGAAGGTTATTGGACTGTAGTTTTCTTATAATCTCTTTGGTTTTGCTATCAGGGAAATGCTAGTCTCATAGGATGAGTTTGGAAGTATTCCCTCTCTTTCTATATTCTGGAAGAGATTTTGTAAAATTCATTTTATTCTATGAACGTTTGATACAACTCACCACGGAAATCCTGTGGAACTGGAGTTTTCTTTGTGGGAAGGTTTTAACTATAAATTTAACTTCCTTAATAGATATAGGGCTATTCAGGCTCTCTCTCCTTCAGTGAGCTTTGATACTTTGGGTCTTTGAAGGAGTTGTTGGGCATGGACTTAAGAGTTGTTCATAGTATTCCTTCATACTTTTAGAGTTTGTAGGGTCTGTAATGATATCCATACCTTCATCTCTGATTTTGGTCATTGTCATCTCTCTTTTTCTTGGTTTTATTGATTTTCTCTTTTCTATGTTATTGTTTTCTGCTCTTTTATTATTTCTCTCCATCTGTTTGGGGTTTAATTTGCTCTTTTCCTAGTTTCTTAACATAGAAGCATAGATTATTATTTTGAGATTTTAAGCTCTTACAAACATAAAATGCTGCAGATTTTCCTCTAAGCAACTGCTGTAGCTGCATCACATAAATTTTGATATGTTGGGTTTTCCTGTTCACTCAGTTCAAAATATTTTCTAATTTCTCTTGTAAGCTCTTCTTTGACCCAGGTGTCATTTAGAAATATGTGTAATTTGGGCCAGCCCCGTGGCGCACTCGGGAGAGTGCAGCGCTGGGAGCGCAGTGACGCTCCCGCCATGGGTTCGGATCCTATATAGGACTGGCGGGTGCGCTCACTGGCTGAGAGTGGTGTGGGCAATGCCACACCAAGGGTTGTGATCCCCTTACCAGTCATGAAAAAGACAAAAAAAAAAAGAAAAGAAATATGTGTAATTTCCAAATATTTGGGCATTTCCCAGATTTCTTTTTGTTGTTTGTTCTCCAATTTTACTCTATTATACTCAGAACATTCTTGGTATGATTTTAATATCTTCTTAAGTTTATAGTTTTATGGCCTAGCGTATAGTCTGACCTGGAGAATGTCCCGTTTGAGCTTCAGTAGATATGTACTTGGCAGCAGTGGGGTGCATCATTTTATATTTATCAGTTGAGCTGAGTTGGTTGATAGTGCTGTTCATGTTTCTGTATCATTGCCAATTTTCTTTCTAGTTCTATCAATTACTGAGACTAGGGAATTGAAATCTTCTGCTATTATTGTTGTACTATTTCTCCTTTTAATTCTGTCACTTTTTGCTTTGTGTATTTTGAGTTTCTCTTATTTCTCTCTATACATGCAGCTTATAATTGTTATGTCTTCCTGAAGTAGTGATCCTTTTATCACTATGAAATGTCCCCCATTGTGTCTAGTAAGATTTCCTGTGTTAAAGTCTACTTGTCTAATATTAATATAGGCACTCAAGTTCTCTTATTGTTTGCATGGTGTCTCTTTGCCCGTCCTTACCTTCAGTATATGTTGTTCTTTGAAACTAAGGTATGTTTCTTATTGGCAAGATAGTTGAATTTTCTTTTTTTTTTAAATGAAGTCTGACAATCTCTGCTTTTGGTTGGGGTTTTTAGACCATTTGTAATTAAAATAATTACTGACATGGTTAGACTTACGTTTGTTGTTTTGTTACTTGTTTTGTTTGTTGTTTGTTTTCTACATGTCTTGTTCATTCCTCTGTTCCTCCTTTACTGCCTTTCCTTTGTGTAAAATAAATATTTTCCCATGTACCATTTTAATTCCTCTCATTTTTTTAACTAAATATTTTCTTAGTAGTTGCCCTAGGGGATACAAAATGCATCTTTTTTTAAACATCACAATGCACTTTAAGTTAATATTAACTTAATTCCTGTAAAATGTAGAAACTTTTCTCCTATATACTCCATTCCCATCCCTCATTTTATGCTATTATTTTCATATATATTACATCTGTATGTTATTAAACAATGCCTTATGATAATGATTGCTTTCTAGACTCTTACATCTTTTAAAGAAGTGAAGGGAAAAATTAGAAAAGATATATACCTATTAAGTTTTATACATGTTTATGGTGCTCTTCAATTCTGCTTACAGGTTCAAATCACCATCTTTAGTAACTTCTTTTTAGCCTGAAGGACTTCCTTTAATATTTCTTATAATGTATGTCTGCTGTCAATGAATTTTCTCATTTTTTATTTATCCAGATATGTATTTATTTTGCCTTTATTTTTATTTTATTTTATTTTGACTGGTAAGGGGATCACAACCCTTGGCTCGGTGTGGTCTGCACCACGCTAGGCCAGTGAGCCATCCCTATACAGGATCCAAACCCACAGCCTCAGCGCTACCAGCACCGCACTCTCCCGAGTGAGCCACGGGGCCAGCCCTGCCTTTATTTTTAAATGATAGGTGCAGTGCTTACAGAATTCTTGGCCTATAGTTTTTCTCTCAGCATGATGGGATGTCTTTCCCTCACCTCTGGGCTGCATTGTATCCGACCAGCAAACAGCTGTTAATGCTGTTGATGGTGTGCGCGCATGCACGCACGCACACAACAGAATTCTTGGCCTATAGTTTTTCTCTCAGCATGATGGGATGTCTTTCCCTCACCTCTGGCCTGCATTGTATCCGACCAGCAAACAGCTGTTAATGCTGTTGATGGCGTGCGCGCGTGCACGCGCATGCACGCACGCACACACACACACACACACACACACACACACACACACAATAATATGTGGAGTCATTTTCACTTGTCACTTTCAAGATCTTGTTCCTCTTTCAGCAATTTAATTCTGCTGTATTCTAGATGTGAATCTCTTTGTATTTATCCTACAAATACAGAGTTTATAGAGCTTAATTGGAAGTATAGATTAAAGTTTTCCATCAAATTTGAAAGTTTTCCACTTTATTTCTTCAGTACTTTTTGTTCTTGCTTGTGTCTTCCTTTGAGACTCTCATCACAGGAGTGTTGGTGTGCTTGATGTTTTCTGAGACGCATTCATTTTATGGCTTTTTTCCTCTCTGTTCTTCATATTAGATAACATCTATTGATCTGTCTTCAAATTCACTGATTCTTTCTTCTGCCATCTTGAATCTGGTGCTGAGCCCCTACTATGAATTTTTAATTTCGGTTATTGTACTTCTAACTGCAGAATTTCCATTTGATTCTTTTTTTATATAATTTCTGCCTCCTTCGTAAGCATCTCATTTGCTGATTTCCTGTCATATTTTCTTTAATTTCTTCAACGTGGCTCCTTTAGCCCTTTGAACATATTTATAGAAGCCTCTTTGTCTACTGCTTTGTTTTTTTCTGCTGAATTCAACATCTGGAGGCACTTAGAGACAGTTTCTGTTGATGGCTTTTTATCCTCAGTATGGGTCATAGCTTGCTGTTTCTTTGCATATCTCTTTAATTTTTTGTTGAAAACTGGACATTTTTGAAAATTTGCTTTAGCCACTCTAGATTCCGACTTTTCCTTCCTGAAGGTTGTTGCTGTTTCTGCTTCATGTTTGTTTAAGTAACTTGACTAGGCTAACTCTCTGAAATCTTTCTCCCCTGCAGCTCAGTGATTTTTGTGTTTGTTTTTCTTTCTTTTAAATTTGGCTTTACAGGGTTTTCTCCTGTGTCTTTGTGGATTGATGGTAAGCCTATGATTGATTAGACAGAGGTTGTGTGGACCCACCTCAAGCTACTAAAGCTTCTGTTCCTTCTCCATGTGACTGTGTAGGTAGGGGAGCGCATTCAAAATGCAGGTCACTTTCACGTTAGCCCTGGCTTTTACTTTCTACGAGGCCCTTCTGTGGCTCCTCTACATGTGTGTGCAGAGTTGGCCAGGAGTGTGTGGCTGGCTTGGACCCTGCCTAGTCTCCACCATTTATGCACACAACCTCAGCCTGGGACATGTTTGGCTCAGCCATGCAACCTTGGCTGGCAGGGCTGTTGGCCCTCCCTGTTCACCCACCTCTGAAGCTGCCACTGACACCACCACTGAGCATGGGCATCTTCCACTGCCTGAAACCGAGTGAGTCACCTCCTGCCTGGCAGGGAAGCGGCAGCTGCTGGTCTTCCCAGCCTGCTCCACCCTGACAGTACCTCTGTGTCGACCAAGTAGCAGGTGGGGAGGTGCACGGGCAGCCAGGAGAGATGAGAGCGGCCCAAATGCCGCAGATTTCCACTGAGAACAGCAAGAATACCTGAAGCGCAGCAGTTTCTCCAGCATGAGCGCTTCTCAGAGGGCTGTTGGCCTTTGGCTGATTTCCAGAGCACTGATTTGTTGTTTATGTCAGTGTTGTCTAGCTTTATAGTTGCTCTTTGGGGATAGAGTTAGCTGATCTCCTCATAGAAATAATCACTCATTAAACTCTATTTCAGTATGGCCGTAAATTCTGGGATAGCACTTTTTACTACTGCATTCATGGAAAAACTGTCTTTGCCATTTGCAGTTTAAATAATTTAAAAAACAAGGTGAAGAAAAAGCTCTAGCCCTGAGTTACTTTTCACAAGTTCTGAATTTAAACTTGCATATTTGTAGGTTATATTGCATTTTTATGAATATAGAAATGTCGTGTAGTTTGTAAGAATGACTGATTAAATTGCACCTATCATTCCTGTCTTGGCTGTAGGGCTTCATGTGTCCACACAGAAACTTGCCTAATGTTACTTTATAAGAAAGAGATAGTTTTTCTTACTGAGAAAAGATTTACTTTTTAATTGTTTAAGTACTTTAGTGATCCTTAAAGAAAATAGCACTTGGAGGCTGTGATTATTCTTGTCACAATTAAAAGATTTGTTAATGTGTTAAATAGGAATTCTTAGAAACTGAAAAATCTCTTGATCCTTTCCTGTGGGTTTTCGAGCATTCACTGTGTTGCTTGTTTTTAGGTTAGTGACAGATCATCATGGTTCAACTTTTACTAAATAGCTTTCAACTGAGTAGCCAGTAGTCATATAAATAGTTTTTCAGTTAAGTAATGGTAATTCGTTTTATACAAAGTTGTATGTCACTCTTGGTGGGTCTCTTGCAGGTCGCTTTGAAGAGGAATTTATCAAAATGCGCATGGAGCGACTTCAGGCCTGGATGACCAGAATGTGTCGTCATCCAGTCATCGCAGAAAGTGAGGTGTTCCAGCAGTTCCTAAATTTCCGAGATGAGAAGGTAGGACATTTTATTATTGTGGTCTTAGGGGATATGGAGGGTTGTCACATTCACACTGAATTTTGTGTCTGAAAGAGTCGCAGTTATGTTAGTTGGTCATTTTTCCACTTCCTCTGAAGACAATGAGGAGACAGTTCTAAATCCCGGCCGTAGGAAGTTGGTCATGATACATCAAGAACTGCTGCCAGACGGGCTTCCCAGAAACGGGATGAGCCCTTTCTTCCTGACTTCCTCTGAAGACAATGAGGAGACAGTTCTAAATCCCGGCCGTAGGAAGTTGGTCATGATACGTCAAGAACTGCTGCCAGACGGGCTTCCCAGAAACGGGATGAGCCCTTTCTTCCTGATGCTTTTAAAAATAGGGTAGACCCCAAACTCTTAGCAATGTGAAGTGAGGGGAGTCGGGTGGGTGCTTTCTTCTGATCACCTTTGACCTTACAGTGTAGTCGCATTGTGGAAGGAGAAGCAGAGTCGGGGATGAACCACTGTTCTTGGAGCTGAGTCGTTTCCCCGTGACTGTAGGAGTCAATCCAAAGGAAACGCTGGTCTCTCTGCCCACCCCCGTGGGCGGTCGTTGTGCCAGTAGTCATCTGTTTTTCATTGAAATCAAGAAAAAATTGGCTGCTTGACATCTCATAATTGTCTGCTTTGGAAATAGTTTTCTCTGTCATTAAGTATTTACTGTACTCTTTATTGTATTATTTTACTCTCTAAAGACATTTTTTCCATGATTTATCTTCTCTCATAACAAATATTGCATATTTTAGGAAAGATTCTAAATAATAAAAGCATGAGTTAGCTCAGAATCAACAGAAGATGCTAAATATATTATGATCCTGGAAAAAAGTTATGAAGTTGTTTTTGTCTTCAGTCACATAATAGAATATTATATACCCTGTTGAACTTTCAGACAGGGATTTACTTGCTAAATTTCCTTATAGTAATTTTTCCTTGTTGAAGTGAACACATTTTCAATGTCTTAAATAGGGGTTTATCTGTGTATGTTTACAGACATATGCA